TTAAAACTTAACAGTATACCTTAAAGACTATCTATATTGGTGGCTAAAGAGCTGCAGGCATCTTTTTTTTTTTTACCCTACCACATTCTTTTTTGTCTGTGTATGCCCAGAACCTAGGACAGGCCTGGTGGAGAGTCCAGTCCCAGTAAATTTGCTGAGGCCCAAGTATATGAGAATGGCTGTCACCTACGGCAAGCTGATGCTGTGGAAGGTCTGCCTCTTGCTTTGGGTTGTGAACCTAGATTTTGTGAACTGCTTGTCTGAATCCAGGATGAAGCATATTCCCTTTCAAGCTTTTATTTCTTCCATTAATCAATAGTATAGTGTGAAGTTCCAACAGTTGGTCTTTCTGGGAGTTAATGAAGCCTAGAAAAGGCACAATCCTTAAAAAGATTTCTAATCCAGACAAAAAGACAGGAAGTAGACATGCATGTATGTGTGCGATTTCATTGCACATGTTCGCCAGGTGCCTGCTCTCTGCTGGGCCATTCTAGGCACTGAGGACAGAGAGGTTCTAGCCTCTGGAGCTCATGGTCTAGATGGAGAATGTGTCACAGACAAAATTAAAGAATGTCTGTTCTGGGAGGAAACATAGGCAGTCTGCTGCACAATATTAGCTATCATTGATTATTTATTATGTGTGAGGAAGTATTTTATACTTTTTGGAATTACTGACTCATTAAACCCTCACCACAATAAAGATGAGGACAGCAAGGCCTGGAGAGGTTAAGTAACTCGCCTGAGGTCATTTAAATGGTGGAATAATTGACAGAGTCAGAATTTAAACTCAAGGCATTTGGCTCCCGAGTCCATGCTCTTACTGCCCATGCTTTATTGCATCTCCCAGGATACTGGATAGGACACCTGGAAGAAGAAGGAGTAATTCATTATGATTAGAGGATTTGGTGTTTGAACTAGACATTAAAAGACAAACGGGTGAAAGGAACAGCATAGCAGAGGCCCAAAAGTAGGAAAAGGCAAAAAATGTTAAAGAGAATACAGCTGAAATGCAGGGCACATAAGTGGACATAGTGGGAAAGAAGGCAGGCCAAAGTCAGAAAGCAAAAGGCTTAGATACTGGGCGGAGGAGGAATGTGGACTTTATCCTGTAGATCGGGGCTGTAAACCAGCCATATGAAGGCTGAATATTTGGCTCTTGCAGTGTTTAGGGAGTTAATTTATTTTTTGAATATGTAATACATGAACAGGGTACAAAATTCAAAAGAATATTTGTTGTAGAATAAGTCTCCTTCCTCCAGCCACTGTTGCCCTCTCCAGAGGCAAACTTTGTTAACAGTTTTTTTCACCAGAGTGTTTTTAAAAAGTCGGGGCCAACATTAAAAAAAAAATCATTAAATTAAAAAAAAAATCAAGCTACCTAGCTGGTCTTGAAAAATTAGATCATCTGGCAGCTCTGGCCCGTTCTACTGCATGGCAACAATTGGCTAGAGCAGAGTTCTGGCCACCCCCTTTAGATGAGATGCAAGTTCTTCTGTTTGCCACAGTTCCCATCACTCCCTGTTTTTTCCCTGACTATAAAGCAGAATTTTATTGTCATTCATGTGCTATAGTTTTTCTTCTAGTGGAATGATGTTATTCTATGTTCACTTCTCTATCAAAACTGAGAAGACTGTGTTTTTCAGCTTTTAGCCTCCAGACAGCAGAGGACAGCCACATACCATTGATCCTGAATTTAAGTGGGTATAACGAGTCCTGGGGACAGAGGCAGAAGGCGGTTTTAGCAGAAAAACTCTTTGAAAGTTTTTCAGGCTAGATGGTACTTGTTGGTGGAGGCAAAGTTCTGAGTTTTAAAGCCAAGGATATGCCCCTGGAGTCATCATACATGCACTCAGGGGATTAGGTCACCCCTTACATAATCTGCAGTAATTCCCATTCTAATTCATAAAGGCTTCAGGCCGAATAAGCCTTACTCTCACAAATACTCTTCTTCAGTTTTGTCTGGAAATAGATGCTGAGGAGGATAATTTGGGAATTATCTACCAAAATTTTAAATGGATTTACTCTAACTACCTGATATTTCCACTTCTAAAAATTTTGAATCTATGGACTTTCTCACACACAAAACACTTAGAATGTATATTTTAGGATACTTATTGAAGCATTGATTGTAATGGGGGAAAAAAGAAACCTCCTAAATATTCAATAGAAGGCTAGGTTCAATAAATTATGGTATATCCAGAGTGGAATACTACACAACCATTAAAACAAATGAGAGTGCTCTGTTTGAACATATAAGGAAATATTTAAAAAGCTAGGGACAAAACATGTATGTATTGTATGCTGTGTGTAAAGAAAGAGAAAATATATGTGTATACATACATGTATGTCAATATAAAGATGTCTGGAAGGATGTGTGAGACACTAATATAGCAATTGCCTCCGGGGAAGAGACCTGGGTGACTGGGGCCAGAGTGGCAATGAGAAACACTTCTCACTATGTATCCTTATGTCTCTTTTGAATGTTACATCTTGTGTCCTTATGTCTCTTTTGAATGTTACATCTTGTGTTTGTACTGTCTATTCAAAATAATAATATTTTAATAATAAATATATAAATGCCAAATTCTGACACCATAAACTTGTTATACCATAATGGCAACCTATTAACTCAAAGGTTATACTCAGGAATGCTTCATAATACAAATCACAAAGTCTTATCATCTCTTACCCAAGTTCTAATTTATTTGTTGTTGAGAATCTCAGAATACATTTTCCCCTTCTAGAAATGGTGTCCTCGATAGTATTTGGGTTTCTTGGCTATATCAAAGTCCAGAGAACCCAGAATGCAGCTGAACTCCAGGCCTGTTAACCTGAGTCACCCCCTCTAACATTGAGGGGAAAACCACTCCTGGCTTCTGCTCAGGGGGCCAGAGTTCATTTCTGCTGCAGCCCTACCAGCAGGACTCACCCTCTACCCAAACAAAAGGCAAGGGGACTGGGGTATGAGCTCCTGACATGGAGAGGGGCCTGGACTTGAATACCAAACAGCTAGGGGCTCAACCTGTGTGTGTGTTGTTTAGTAACCATCCTAGTTCAAATCCCAGCACCACTTGCCAGCTGGATATAATTTGGACCTGTTACTTAACCTCACTATCTCAGGTCCCTTATCTAAATGTGGATATTAATAGTATCTTCCTCATAGGATTAAATGATGAATCCATGTAATGTACTTAAAACAGTGCCTAGTGCACAGTAAAATCTCAATAATATTTTGTGAAGGTTTTTTTGTTTAGTTATTTGTTTTTTGCTTCTCTTTTTTTTTTTTTCTTTTCTTTTCTATGTAGAGATAAAATGTCACAGAATCTGGAAGATCTCTTTGTACCCCTTCCTCATTCTTTTCCCCTCCCTCCCCTCCTTGAGGTAACCACTATTCTGCAGTTGGTTTGTCCTCACTAAATATAGGCCAGACTTTCCATGGAGTTATGGTTGCAGGAAGACAGCCTATTCACAGGTGCATTACCTCTGCCTCATTCTCTCCTTGATCAGGTGGTGAGCTATGCCCCATTCACTCTCTTCCCCTCACTGGTCCCCAGTGCCCTTTTGGAGCAGGCCTATGCTGTGCAGATGGACTTCAACCTGCTAGTGGATGCTGTCAGCCAGAATGCTGCCTTTCTGGAGCAAACTCTCTCCAGGTACCAGGTGATGAGGCATGGGGGGTGGGGAGGCGGGGGGACGGATGGGAGCTCCTAGAACCAAGGGACTAGAAGACTGGGGAGCCATGAGGTGTTGCTGGGTTAGCTGACTGGGTAGGGTAGAGGACAGATAACCTCTAGGAGAAACAAAAAGTAGTAGAATAGACAGGAAAGCTGGTTTCTTTCTTTTTTTAAAAGATGACAGGTGAGGGGATCTTAACCCTTGACTTGTTGTTGTCAGCACCACGCTCACCCAGTGAGCTAACCGGCCATCCCTATATGGGATCTGAACCCGTGGCCTTGGTGTTATAAGCACCACACTCTCCCGGGTGAGCCACAGGCCAGCCTAGGAAAGCTGGTTTCTAATCCTGGCTTTACCACTTAGTTATATGGCCTCAAACAAATCCCCTTCCTTCTCTGGGCCTCAATTTCTTCATCTGAAAAATGTGGAGGTTGTCTTAAATCTAGGATCTCATTGCTGACATTCTGTGATCTGTGGCCCCCTGTTTTTAAGACTGGAATTTCCATTTGGAATTAGAGAAGATCAGCCTAGTTTTGCAGGAAAACAGAGGGTAGGGAAGGTTATTGGGTTTAAAGTCACATTTCCTACTTCTTCTCCTAAGCAGTGGCCCTTTCTTGTCACCCCAGGCCTCTCATCTTTGGATGGGATGGGGTGCAGATTGGGTCACACCCTGGGCACAAGGAAACAACCCCTGGAGTGTCTTACCCCATCTACCTGTCCCTGTCTCTTCTCCCTTGATCTTTTTCTTCAGATCCTGGAGCAAGTGAAATTTCTTGCTTTATTTTAAAATTAAATATAAATAAATCCTTTATTTTAGAATTAAATATATGCAAGAGTACTTCAGAAAATTTGTGGAAAAATAGAATTAAAAGATAATAGGAATCTTTCTATGAACTTTTGAAGATCCTGCATATAAATATTATACATGTATATATATGCTAGAGGTATATATAATTGCATGTCTTTGATTAATTTTTCAACAGAAAACAAGTTTATTTTGTTAGAGATAAAATCTTTTTAAAATGTAGACCTTGGTGTGAGGGTGAGTATGAGAAGGGATCACAATGGTAAGAAGTTTGGAAATCATTGACTTGGAGCCAAACACCTAATGAACCATGAATGTATGAACCCTTCCGTCACCTTCCCCGAAGATCTTTGGCCTGGCTTTTAACCTGTGATTCCGGATTGTAGGAAATATCAAGCAGACCTTCACCCTAATGATGCAATTATGTGGGAGACCTTCCCTGCAGGCCATCTCTGCAGCCCCTGCCTTCCCTTTTCTTCTTACACACACACACACACGCACACGCACACGCAGGCCATCTCTGCAGCCCCTGCCTTCCCTGTTCTTCTTACACACACACACACACACACAGACACACACACACACACACACGCAGGCCATCTCTGCAGCCCCTGCCTCCCCTGTTCTTCTTACACACACACACACACACACAGACACACACACACACACACACGCAGGCCATCTCTGCAGCCCCTGCCTCCCCTGTTCTTCTTACACACACACACACACACACAGACACACACACACACACACACGCAGGCCATCTCTGCAGCCCCTGCCTCCCCTGTTCTTCTTACACACACACACACACACACAGACACACACACACACACACACGCAGGCCATCTCTGCAGCCCCTGCCTCCCCTGTTCTTCTTACACACACACACACACACACAGCCTAGAGTCCAGGGGTGAAGGGGAGCATCTCTTCAGAAAAGGGAAAATGTGTCCCAACTTCCCTGGAGACTGAAGCCCAACTGGGGATTCTTCTCTCCACCAGGGTCTGGGAAAGGCCTCATGAGAGAGCTGCCTGGGAGGCAGAGGAACTTCAGGGCAGGCCTTAGTTTTTGGCTCCCCCAGCTGGTCTGGTGAGGTCCCTGTAACAAGGCAAGCCTGGAAGTTGGTCTTGAGCAGATGTGCAAAGTCTGCCCTGAATCTTGGGAGGCAACCAGTGTAGTGTTGTGTTTTTTTTTGTTTTTTTTAAAAGATGACCAGTAAGGGGATCTTAACCCTTGACTTGGTGTTGTCAGCACCATACTCTCCCAAGTGAGCCAACCGGCCATCCCTATATAGGATCGGAACCCGTGGCCTTGGTATTATCAGCACCGCACTCTCCCGAGTGAGCCACGGGCTGGCCCAAGTGTAGTGTTAATTACGTGTGAATTCCTTCTCACTGTGCCTCTTCCTGAGGCTCCATAAAAACCATACTGGATGTGCCCTCAGCACATGTCACGTGCCACAGGAGCACACTGGGCTATGATGATGAGCCAGCACAAACATGGCCCCCACCCTCAGGTGGTATATCGTTAAACAGGAGAGGTGACACTACTCCTCACACAGATAAAATGGAAAATGGTAACTGCAATCAGTGCTGTAAAGGAGAGGCTCACAGTACTATGAGAGCATATAGCAGGGGATCTGACCCAGATAGGGAAGGCTTCCCTGAGGAAATCAAGTCATATAAGGACTGGTTGAAGAAAAAAAAACAGGATATTTAGCTTGGGTCAGAAAAATCTTATTGGGGCAGAGGACATAACTGCTGTCTTCTAATCTCTGAGGGCTCTCATGGAGGAGGAAGAGAAGACTAGTCCTGGGAGGTCCCAGAATGTAGGAGAAGCTATGAAAGTTAGGTCAGTCAGAAAGCTTACCAACCATCAGAACTATTCAAGTATAGAATAGTAATATCATATGCCATTTTTGAGTTCATCTTTGGACCAGACATTATGTTCAGTTTTTTGAATGTAATATCTTGTTTACTTTTTGCCACAACTCTACAATATAAATACAATTATTTTCCTCTTCATTTTACAGATGAGCAAACTGAGACACAGAAAGGTGAAATGATTTCCTAAGGTTGCCTAGTAGTGAGTGGAAGAACTGGGATTCTTAACCACTATTCTCTACCTGATAAAGAGATTCTTACCCACTAAACGTGGAGTCCTAACCACTATTCTCTACTTGATGGGGCGGGTATTGAAGTTTTGGCCAGTAGGCCCAGAGAGGATTAAGAGTTAATGGATGAGGGTGGGACTTCTTGACTTTAGGGCCCTGGAAAATGTGGCCTGGAAAATGTTCTCTGTTTCCTCCTCCAGTACCATCAAAAGAGATGACTTTACCGCTCGTCTCTTTGACATTCACAAGCAAGTCCTGAAAGAGGGCATTGCCCAGGTAAACGTTCCCAGACCCACACCAGTCCAGAAGCTGCCCCTCCCCTCTCTGTATTTTTTTTTTTTTTTACCAGAAGAATTTGGCCCAGACCCTGAGCTAATGGAATCTGCCTCTCACTTGTCTCCACTGGGTTTGTACATCCCAGTGATCAATCCTGGGGTGACCAAAAGAATGACCTTACTGGGTTTGGAAGTGTTAAGTAGTGCCTCTAATCTCTGTGCAGAATTCACAGTATCTGTCTGCTCTGTGGCTTGGCCCTCAGAGTCAGCCCCTGGGCAGATGTCCTCAGCCTTCAGTTTTCTCCACAGACCGTGTTCCTGGGCCTGAACCGCTCAGACTACATGTTCCAGCGCAACACAGATGGCTCCCCAGCCCTGAAACAGATTGAAATCAACACCATCTCTGCCAGCTTTGGGGGTCTAGCCTCCCGGACCCCAGCTGTGCACCGGTGGGTCCCTTAGGCAGCCCTGAGCACATCCATGGGGTGACAGACTGATGGACCTACAATCACTGGCTGGGCCAGGGATCTCTAACTATGACTGTACCTTCTTGTGCCCTGGGTCATGTGTTTCCCCTACACACACACCACAGTTTCCACTTGTAATTAGATCTTTGGTATGTCAGGGAAAGAAGGGACCTTATGGCTCATCTAGTCCTGCCCCTTTATTATTGTACAAGTTAGTGTTCCAGACAAAGGGAACAGTATATTCAAGGGTCCTGAGGTGAAAAAGAGCTTGACATGTTTGAGGTCCTGAAAGGAGGTCAGAATCCAAGGCAGAGGAATGCAGGGGCTTCCGTCTGAGGGCTGGATCCTAGCAGCATCCATTTCTAGCTAGCAGTGGTGCTCCAGGTTGCTATCATTTCAGACGGTCTGCAGTAGGATTCCAGACAGCACCTGGAGGCCCAGGGTAAGGGGCTCCAGCTCACTGGGAGGCTGGGGTGAGGTGGCGTGGGGACACAGGGTCTTAGGGCTCTTCTGGGCATGTGCACCAGGGACAGGGGTAGGGCAGCCCAGTATTACAGCCTGAAGTGGATCCTCTAGGGTTGTGATGGTAAAGTTCTTTTTAGTGCTCAGCTGATTCTCAGAGTAATGTTTCTATAAGTATCTGTGAGATCATGGGCGCAGGGGTCTTCCAGGTCCATCCAATTACTGAACAGCTGTCTCTCTTCCAACAGACATGTTCTCAGTGTCCTGAGTAAGACCCAAGAAGCTGCAAAGATCCTCTCCAATAATCCCAGCAAGGGACTGGCCCTGGGGATTGCAAAAGCCTGGGAGCTCTACGGCTCAGCCAAGTAAGGGTGTGAAAAAGTGGCAGCAGTATCCTGCTTTAGATTCAGCATTCATGGGTGCAGCAACTTCTTTGCGTGACATAATTAGGGAATGAGAGGATTTTTCTAGGAATAGAAACTTAAACCTTTAAGTGCCAAAATTAATGGAGTTTTGAGCTTCCTTCTTAAATAAGTAATGCTGATTATAATCTAACCTTTACTTGTTGGCTGGAGATCATCATTATGACTCAGCAATTGCATCTTGCTATAATGCAGCAGTACTATACCTAGGATTGGAGAGGTGTGAGGCTGTTTGCCTGCACTAGTGGCTCTGACTGCTAGGCTTTAAGTTCTCATTCATAGTTTTCCTGTCTGCTTCCCCATTATCAGCTCTTACTATTTTTTTTTTTTTTTTACCCTTTTGTCTTTTTTCGTGACCGGTAACGGGATCGCAACCCTCGGTGTCGCGCCCGTACCACGACCGGCAACGGGATCGCAACCCTTGGTGTCGCGCCCGCACCGCGCTCAACCAGTGAGCGGACTGGTCTCTATATGGGATCCGAACCCTCGGCGGGAGCGCTGCCGCGCTCCCGAGCGCCGCACTCTACTGAGTGCACCACCGGGCCAGCCCAGCTCTTACTTTTTTTTACTGTTATCAGTGTGCTTGAATTTGGAATCCTCCACTCCAATCTCCATACCTCCTTTCTGATTTGCTATAGTTTGGGAAGTCAAATGATCCGAGTTGTTATGATTGCATCTAAAGAGCGTGAGGGGCTCTTTGATGACTAAGTGAATAAGCTTTGACTTAGGAATTTTACGGTGTCTGTTTTAACTGCTTAGAGGCATTTTTTGCTTCCTTATTTCTCAACCATGTTCCAGATATGTGAAGATGTTAGGTAAGTGATTTCTGGATAATCGACAGGCACTATATTAGAAGTTATTGCAATGTTAATATGGCATTAATAGTTAGCCCTTAATGAGCACTTACCAGTGCCTATTCTAAATGCTTTACATACAGGATTTCATTGAATCCTCATAACACATGCTCTGAGGGAGGTACTAGTCATCTCCCCTGTTTTACAGATGAGGAAACTGAGGTTCAGAGAAGTGAAATGAATTGTTCAAGGTCAGCTGGTAAATTGGTGACAGAGCCCAGAGTCTACCTCGCTCCAGAACCTGCATTTTTGAGTATTCTATTGGCTCCAAGAGAGCCTCTCTGGGCTTGCTGAGCCTCACTAAAGCCCAAAAAACCTCAGACTCTGAGCATTTAAAAGCCATCAGACAAATATCCTGTCAAATAGAACTCTTGGCTAGTTGTATTTTAAGAGAGTGAATCCAGAGGATGGGTTAACTGGGGAACTGCTGATGGCAAACGCCACTGAGAGTTTCTCCTGCCAGCCTGTGATTAATATGGAGAGAGAAGATTCGTGTGCCCAGAATTAGGTGCTGGTGGTAGGAGCTGTGTGGTGGCTGAGCTGGAACTGGCTTCTCCCATCATTAGAGTTGGATAGCCTCTTTGACTGACCCGGCACATGACCTTGGCAAGTCAATTCTTTTCTCTGAGACTCAGTTTCCTAATTTGTAAAACAGGAGTTATAATAATACCTAAAAGAGTGGTAGTGAGAATTAAATGGGATCATGGATCTGAAAAGTGGTTTAAAAAACTTGGTGTAGGAGGCTGGCCAGTTAGCTCAGTTGGTTAGAGAATGGTATTATAACACCAAGGTCAAGGGTTCGGATACCCATACCTGCCAGCTGCTGAAAAAAAAGAATAAAAGTGCTAAGAGCAGATAGGGCTGGCCAGTTAGCTCAGTTGGTTAGAGCATAGGGCTGCTAACACCAAGGTCCAGGGTTTGATCTATGTATTGGCCAGCTGCCCCAAAAATAATAATTATAATAAAAATAAATAAGTAAATTGATGTGGGTCATTATGTGGTACGTTCAATAATAATAGTGGCTACCATTTAACAAGTACTAGTTTTATTTTATTATTTTTTAAAATGTTTTGTTTTTGTTTTGTTTTCGGTGGCTGGCTGGTATGGGGATCCAAACCCTTGACCTTAGTGTTGACCTTGGTATTATAACACTGTGCTCTAATCAACTGAGCTAACTGGCCAGCCTGCTAGTTTTATTTTATACAAGAGTAAACTAAGGCTCAGAGAAGTTGAATAACTTATGCAAAGTTATTCAACTGACGAGTTTAGAATTCATCTGCCTCTAAAGCCTGTTCTGTTACATTCCAAGAGATGTGGTCCCATAGTATAGATTGAAAAACTGCATTTGAAGAGCAGATGAATTTTCATCAATTATCTCATGCTTTTACAGATTTTTTTTAAAAGGAAGCTTGGAAAATGAATTATGATTTCAATTTAGGCAAACTCTTTTAAAGCATAAGGGGCTGTGGTTGGAATGAGTAGAATAAACAAAGGGGATTCTTGGTGATAAAAGGTTGGGAACTATGATCTACTTAACACCCTTATTTTATAGATGGGGAAATCAGGCCCCAAGGAAAGAATCTGACATGACCAAGGACACACCACAAGTCACGGGCAGTGCCAGGACTAGGACTCAGGTGTCTTTGCTCCCAGCCAGCATGCTATTGCCACGTCACCCTCCTGAGCTGACAACTTTCCTAGGCCTGCTACCAACAGACTACTCAGAACTAAAGGCAGGAGGAGGGAGAATATGTTTTCTGGGTCTGGCTCTGATTGTTTGGAAGGTGGCAGGCTGGCTTAATTGGCCAGGGCATGCAGTTCTACCTCAGCCTATCGCCTCCAGCTTTCCTCCTCCACCCCTTCTTGGAGGTGAGCCAGCCTGGGCCAGGTGCCACACACACCCTGCCACATTCCCCCACCCATGAACTGAGCAGTTCCAGCTGCAAAATGAAGAGCAGGGCCACTGGCCCTCGGGACTCCCTCAGGGCAAGATGGCTTGTGAGTGCACCACTACTAGCTTGTCTTTCAGATACCCAGCCTAAAGCCAAGGGTCAGCTTAATGTCATGTCTGACCTCATGAGATTTCAGGCAGGCCGGGAGAGGGAGTGTAGTAGAACCTATATTTTGGCTAAGTGGAAAGGAGTCAGGCATACAGAGTTTATTCCAAGAGATTCAGCTAAGGTAGGGGGATTCACAGACAAACAGACAAGAGGCCAAGTACAGGAGGTCAGGAATATACACTGAGAATCCTAAGCCAAAGTTTGGATTTCCAAGGGTCTTAACAAGAAGCAACAGTCACAGAGCAGCACAGCTACAGCAAAAATGGAGTTTGGTACTGCTGAGCATTGGCCCTAAGAGTCTGGTGGGGGGCTAGACCTATCTTTGACAACTGAAAATAACCTTGCTGGCAGCCAACAGACAGTTCTCTGGCATAAGTTTTTCCGAGTCCTCAAGCCCCTGCTTCTTTAAGAAACACATGGATAAACAGAGATGAAAAGTCCATGGCCCAGTGTACATCATAAAAATATTGGGAGGCCCCAGGAAATAATGCCTTATTTTCAGTTGCCTCTATGGGTTTCTGTAGGGTTCCATTTAGCTATTCTAATGTTTCAGGCAAGAACCACACTCTTTTAATATATGTGTTACAATTTAGTAGTAGAGTCATTAGCCTCCAACCCCCAACATTGTTCTTTTATAGAATATTCTTTAATACTTCCACCTGTTTATTCTTCCAGAAAGATTCTAGAATCATTAAGTTCTAAGAAAAAGTCCTCTTGGGTTTTTGAGATGGTTTTAAATCTAAGTTTTAATTTGCACAGAAAATTATCATTACAATATTTCATCTACCCACTGGAGGAGCAGATACATCTTCATTTTTATAAGTTCCCTGTTTTCAGAAAATAATGTATATCTCTGAGCCTCAGGTGTTTATGCCTGAGGCAATCCCAAGTTGAGGGAATCTCATTCCTAGAAAGGATGGGACAGAGGAAGGACAAGCTCTGTAGCAGCCTCGGGCCACCTATGCTCTTTTCCCAGTGCTCTGGTGCTACTGATTGCTCAAGAGAAGGAAAGGAACATATTTGACCAGCGTGCCATAGAGAATGAGCTACTAGCCAGGTAGGTAAAGGAGGGGGGACCTCCAGGTGTGGCCCCAGGATTGGGGAAGGCCACTCAGAACATAGCATCTACTCCCTCTGATTCTTGCCCATCTTTCCCAGGAACATCCACGTAATCCGGCGAAGATTTGAAGATGTCTCTGAAAAGGGGTCTCTAGACCAAGACCGGAGGCTGTTTGTGTAAGCATTCCCAAGGACCCAACAGAAGGCTGGTTTATGAAAGTCATCTTGCCAACTTCTTCCCCCAAATGATCTTTTCTTCTGGGAGATGTGATGGCTTCCTTCTCTCTTAATTTTTGAGATATCTCATCCTCCCAGGAAATTTTGGAGAAGGCCAGCCAAGCTCTTCTTCAAAAGAGTTGTATCAGGGGCTGGCCCGGTGGCGCACTGGATAAGTGCACCGCTTGGGAAGCGCAGCGGCGCTCCCGCCCGAGGGTTCGGATCCCACATACAGACCGGTTC